TTAAATGTTTACTGTTTCTCTGCTATCATTTCAGCAGAAATATCCTGCTAATGAGCTTAGCCATTCCTTATTTTTCAAATAAGGTAAAATTAATTAAACTGATTCCACTGATGCTGTGATTGTTAAACAAATATAAACTTTTTCTTACTTAATTATTATTAATTATTTGTATTACCATAGTGCCAAGAGCCCTAGTAATAGACCAGGATCTCATTGTGCTAGGAAAAGTACAAACTTCTTTGTATTGACTGTCAAGTGTTAAACAAATAATTCATTTACTTATATTTTTTTAGATACTGCTGCTGGTTCGAAATCTAAAAGACACCGCTGTATCTTATTTCCATTTTTACAACAATATGCCTACACTTCCCTCCTTTGGCTCATGGGATGAGTATTTTACAGCTTTTATGCATGGAAAATGTACACTCTGTTTTTCTGTTTTTTAGCTATTCTGTAATTAATGGATTGGCAAAACTGGGCACTGGGATTCAGGAAGACGTAGGGCAGATTCTGATCTCAGTTGTATTGTTATAATTCAAGAAAAACTTCTTGGTCTTAAAGTTATTCTAGATTTATAAATGTTGTAATTGAAATCAGACTGTGACCCCTGAAATCAAGAGAATTCATTCACTGACACAGACTCCCTCTGTGATCTTGAGTAAGTCATGTAAGCTCTTACGGCCTGACCACCATTACCCTGAACTTTATATAGTCTGAAACACAGATTTAGGAAATTAAATATGAGTTATATTACCGACTATGCTAATACAGTACTTATTAAAATAGTGTGACAGGGTAAGGCCAGATGGCTATAGGAAAGTAATGAGAAACAGGTATGTTAGTGTTGCTGGCCCAGAGGGCCTGAGGGGGCAACAGGGGGTTCGTTGTCCGGTGTGCGTCGCACCAATAGACACACCAGGGTGGAGAAGCAAACCAAATTTATTCGAGATCTCGAAAAGGCACTCAGGAGACCAGCATGTCTCAAATCAGAAGCACAACAAATACAAGCAAGTTTCCCATTTTATATTCCAAGCTGTTTGTGTGTAAGCCTTTGTTCTGTTTCCCCTCCACCCCTCCCTTCCCGACAGCGGTTACAGTAGGCACTACATTGTGGCGTGTTAGAAAAGTTCTCGTCCGCATGCTTATCTTTGGCCTTGTAGGCCTCTACGTAGTAGACTTCCCCCCTTCCTCCCCCCCCTTCTTCCTTATCACTACTGCTTTTGCTAGTGTGAGTGAAACTGCAGCTGTCTGCTAAAAAGCTGACCATTACATATTCTGCTTTTAGGCTGGTTAGCATTGAGGCTATTTAAAGTTCACAAGATGGAGTTGCTTTAGCTCACTTAGACCCAGAGCAGGGGGGTTTCATCAGCACTTATGGCCTTCCACCCCCCCGAGTTACCTGATAGCTATGCCTAGCGACATCAACAATAGCCCCAGGCTAAACAAATCCCTGTTACCAGGGTAACTAAATGGCAGTTGCTCCATGTTAATCAAGACACCTGAGGCCAATTAAGATCTTTCCAGAAGGCAGGGAGGAAACTCGGCACAATCGAGAGGCATGCTTAGTCACCCAGGAGACCCTTCCCCAGGAGGATAACTTACATGAGCAAGTGAGGATATCACCGAACTTGACACCGATCCAAAAGATTGAGGCAACCGATGTGATTAATCGTGACCGAGATGTGTTCTCTACAAAACCGGGGCGGACAACTGAGACCTATCACCATATCTGCACGATCCCTGGAGCCAAGGTAACATTGAGACCCTACTGTATCCCAGCAGCCAAAAGAGAAGAAATCAAGGCCGAAGTAAAGAAAATGTTAGAATTAGGGGTTATTGAAGAATCGTACAGTCAGTGGTCCAGTCCAATCATTCTAGTGCCTAAATCTGACGGTACCACGAGATTCTGTAATGACTTTTGCCAACTGAATGAAATATCCCAATTCAATGCATATCCCATACCACGCATCGACGAACTGGTTGATCGACTGGGTAGTGCCCAATTCTTGACTACACTAGATCTGACAAAAGGGTATCGGCAGATTCCCCTGACTAAAGAAGCTAGAGAAAAGACAGTGTTCTCCACCCCGGACGGGCTATTCCAGTACACCGTCCTCCCTTTTGGGTTACATGAGACCCCGACCACATTCCAGCACCTCATGGATAAGCTGCTGCGCCCCCATACTAGTTATGCAGCTGCGTACCTAGATGATGTCATCATCCATACGCCAGACTGGGGAACCCACTTGGAGAAAGTTGAGGCAGTACTGCGCACCATAAGGCGGGCTGGCCTCACCGCTAAACCTGCTAAATGCGCCATAGAGCTAGCAGATATATTGTAGGAAGGGGCATAGTGAAGCCCCAAACGAATAAGCTAGAGGCGATTCAAAGCTGGCCCCGGCCGGCCCGAAAGAAGCAGGCCCGTGCGTTCCTAGGCATGGTAGGCTATTACAGACGTTTTATTCCCCACTTCAGCACTAGGGCAAGTCCCCTAATGGACCTGGTGAAGGCCCAAGGTCCAGACATGGTGAAGTGGACCGATGCAGCAGAGGGGGCATTCATAGACCTTTGGGCGGCCCTCTGTAATGACCCCATACTCATAGCCCTGGACTTTAACAAGGAATTTATTTTACAAACACATGCTTCTGAGTTGGTGTTGGGGGTGGTTCGGTCACAAATGGTTGGAGAAGAAGAACACCTGATCCTCTGCCTAAGCAGAGAGCTGCTCCTAAGAGAACAGAAGTACGCAGTAGTTGAGAGAGAATGTCTTGCTGTCAAATGGGCTATGGAGACATTGTGTTATTACCTCTTAGGCCGGCAATTTACTCTTGTGATGGACCATGCACCCCTCCAGTGGATGCAGCAGAATAAGGAAAAGAACGCAAGGGTCACCAGGTGGTTCTTATCCCTCCAACCGTTCCAGTTCCGCATACGGCACAGGGCTGGATGCCACCACAGCAATGCCTGGTGTCCCAAGTTGCCGAACTCTATGGTGTTGAGCAGAGGGGGTGGGGGGTTATGTGACGGGGCAAGGCCAGATGGCTATAGAAAAGTAGTGAGAAACAGGTATGTTAGCCCCAGACTAAACAAATCCCTGTTACCATGGTAACCAAATGGCAGTTGCTCCAGGTTGATCAAGACACCTGAGGCCAATTAAGATCTTTCCGGAAGGCAGGGAGGACACTAGGTTGATTGGGATACCTGAAGTCAATCAGGGGCTGGCTGAAACTAGTTAAAAGCCTCCCAGTTAGTCAGGTGGGTGTGCATGTCAGGAGCTGTAGGAGGAAGTTGGGCTGTTGGAGAGGCTGAGGAGTACACACCATATCAGGCACAAGGAAGGAAGCCCTGAGGTAAGGGTGAAGTGGATCTTGAGGAAGTGGGGGGCTGCTGTGGGGAAGTAGCCCAGGGAATTGTACACATCCTGTTTCTAAAAAGTCAGCTACCATAGCTGATACTATTAGGGTCCCTGGGCTGGAGCCCGGAGTAGAGGGTGGGCCTGGGCTCCCCTCTTTGCCCCCCTCATTAATCACTGAGACTGGGAGACAACAGAGACAGTGCAAGGGAGGATAGCTTTTCCTCACCTCCCTTGCTGGCTTATGATGAAAATGGCTCAGTAGGCTGTGACCCTTGCCGCTAGAGAGAAAGGCTATATAGAGGGTCACAGTGAGCCTCTGAGGCTAGCGAAATCTGCCAGGAAACGAGGGACCCACGGAGACAAGGACAGAGCTTTGTCACAATAGGTATAAGCATGCTGGCCTAGAAATCCAAACCCAATATTCCAACTCAAAACAACTTCCCCCTATACTTTTTTTTCTGCTAATCTATGCATAAGCTGAATTCATTTAGTGTGTAGAAGGCTAAAATTCTTCCCACTGGTGCATAAAGAAGGGAATAGAGGTGAGCAAAATGTTTTCAACTAATTGTTTTTTGGGAGTCAAAAGTATTTGCTGACTTCAGGCTGAATTTGGTAAATAGTTTTGTTTGGAAATAAAATTTCTAAACAGAGGAAACATTTTGTTTCAATCATTCTGAATCATTTCATTTTGATTGTTTCAGTTTGAAATATTTTGTTAAACTTTTCTATTCAAAATCGCATTTCACTTCCAAATTTGGTCAGTTAAAGAAAAGACTACAAAAAGGGTGAAAAGAATCCAAAACGGCTGGATCAAAATGAATAACTCAAAATAAAATTTGTTTGGAGTCAAGTGAAACATTTTGGTTGATTTTAAACTATTTTTTTCTACTTTTTTGATTCAGCAAAAAAATAAATAAAAAATTAAACACTGTTTTTGGTTCAATTCAAGCCAGATTCTTTTTTGGATTTTTTGGTTCACTGAACCAAAAAATCTATCACTCACTCAGCTGTGATAGGGAACAGTGCAAAGGAGAGCCTCCTTTCCGACCCAGCCAGCAGTCAGACAGGATGTCTCCATGGCAAACAGGAGTGCGCTGGAATGTTCAGCTGGCTGGAAAGCTTCTACGCTATGTCCCTAAGGTGGTTAAGAGGGTGTTTAGTCCTTTCCACCTAGTACAGTCGTTCTTAACCTTTACTGCAGCCTGCACCCCTTTGGTTCTCAAAATATGTTCTCGCACCCCTTATCACCCCTCTTGCACCCCTTATCACCCCTCTTGCACCCCTTAAAACATATAATGTTAATAAATACATAGATTTGATTAAACAAAGTAGTTGTACTTACATGCCTGTGCTTAATTTGTGTTTTCAATGATTTACCTTCTAAAAAAATCTGGCATGTCTCGCACCCCCAGAAAGGGCATCTCGCACCCCCAGGGGTGCGTGCACCCCAGGTTAAGAATTACTCACCTACCAGATGTGTGCTCTTCCATTAGTGGCCAGTACTAGCCGTCAGATGGAAGGAACACTTATTGTTCCTATTCAGAAGAGCAGTGGCAAAATGTGTTAGTGTAGTCCTCACCTCAAAACCTGTCTGACACCATGAAGTCAGCCTAAGACTATAAAAGGAGTCCACATTCCTTGTCTCAGTTCATCTTTACCTCATTATTATTGAATCATTCTGATTTTCTGGTTTTTTTTTCTCCAGTGTGTTGGGGCTCCTATTTTGATTATTTAGTTGAATGGAACAAGCATATGGATGATGAAAATGTTATGGCGATAACCTATGAAGAGCTGAAAGAGGTGAGGTTAATGCTGTTTAAAGGAATCTTTACTTCATACTGAAATAGTGCATAACTAATGATAACAACACAGCTACTAAGCCCATGCAAGGCCTATACAATTCATTTTGTTTTTGACAGAAACCGACAAAACAGAAATTTTCATGAAAATTTAATCAAAAAGCCACATTTTATAAAAAAACCTCATGTTTCAGTGGAAATTTTTAAATCAGCTCTACTTAATCCCTATGATGAAATAAATGGTATGCAAATGTCCTATAATCCTAGTTCTAGACCTGTGAGTAGGGTGGAATTTCATCCTCTGTGACCACCAAGGTGCCAAGAAACTTGAATCTAGGAACAAAGAGACTTTGGAATGAATAAGGCCTACATCTAATAGTATCCACTTCATGGGGAAATGATTACCAAGAGCCAACATCAGCCTTGCTGTAAGCAGGTGTAACGCCGTTATCTTTCAATGGATTTGCACCCACTTACACCAGGCCTAATAAAGATTTTTTTAATATATACTGTCAACATGAGCCAGTGGCTTAATATTCAAAAATACTGAACATAAAGGGAAGGGTAACAGCCCTCCTGTGTACAGTACTATAAAATCCCTCCTGGCCAGAGACTCCAAAATCCTTTTACCTGTAAAGGGTTAAGAAGCTCAGGTAACCTGGCTGACACCTGACCCAAAGGACCAATAAGGGGACAAGATACTTTCAAATCTTGGTGGAGGGAAGGCTTTTGTTTGTGCTCTTTCTTTTGGGGGTTGTTCACTCTTGAGACTGAGAGGGACCAGACATCAATCCAGGCTCTCCAAATCTTTCTGAACAAGTCTCTCATATTTCAAACTTGTAAGTAAACAGCCAGGCAAGGCGTGTTAGTTTTATCTTTGTTTTCTCAACTTGTAAATGTACCTTTTTGCTAGAGTGTTTATCTTTGTTTGCTGTAACTTTGGACCTAAGGTTAGAGGGGATTCCTCTGGGCTCTTTAAGTTTGATTACCCTGTAAAGTTATTTTCCATCCTGATTTTACAGAGATGATTTTTACCTTTTTCTTTAATTAAAAGTCTTCTTTTTAAGAACCTGATTGATTTTTCCTTGTTTTTAGATCCAAGGGGGTTGGATCTTGATCCACCAGGAGTTGGTGGGAGAAAGGAGGGGGATGGTTAATTTCTCCTTGTTTTAAGATCCAAGGGGTTTGGATCTGTATTCACCAGGGAATTGGTGAAGAGTCTCTCAAGGCTACCCAGGGAAGGGAATTAGCATTTTGGGAGTGGTGGCAGCGGACCAGATCGAAGCTGGTAGTTAAGCTTAGAAGTTTTCATGCAGGCCCCCACATTTGTACCCTAAAGTTCAAAGTGGGGAAGCAGCCTTGACATATACTGTCAACATGAGCCAGTGGCTTAATATTCAAAAATACTGAACATCAACAGTATTGGGGGGTGGGTGCGCTGCATCTCTGAAACTCAGATAAAACATCTTCACAATAAAACCGGCCAAGTTTTTCAGCCCTCACTCAGTCAAAACTTTAATTGTCTTTAGTGGGAAATTTTGCCAAAATGGAGGACAATAAGATATGCCCATATGTAACCAATGTGGACTTCTCCAAATCTCACACATGAGTGAGCTGGATGGGATTGTATTCTACATATTGAATTAAAACCTAAATTACAGTAACATGAAGTGTGTAAAGCACTGACAAAATCCACAAAGCCATCTAACAATAATTTCCATTTGTAAATCAAGGCTGTCTTTAGCATGCCTTCCTATTATGCCCAGCTACCACAAAGCATATGGAGAGTGACCATGGGGAAACGCTAACAACTTGTGTAATAGGTTTCCACGGTGGGGAAAACGTGTTCAGTTTGCAGTCTGATTATGATCCCGATACCCAACCTTGCTAAAGTGAAATGAATTCACCTGAAATTTCACAGCTGTGATAAAGGGCAGATAAAGGGTAGATTTTTTCCTGGAAGGGTTGCTGCAAATTGGACAAGGTGTTTGGGAGATTATTTAAAAAATAAAATAAAAACAGGGTGATCTAATTTCTTCAGTGCCTGCAGTGTGGTACCTTGGCCCCACACTAAATCTATTTAGAAAAATCTTAATACAATCTCTCTCTCTCTCTCTCTCTCTCTCTCTTTCATTCTCTAAGAGGTTGTCAGCTTTCCAACAGAAAATGCTGATTCTATGGACGCTACATGTAGATTGCTTCAACACTTTAGATGGAAACCAGGCAGGCCAACCTACTGGCCACCCTGCCTGCTTTCCTGCTAGCTCCCCCTCCTGCCCATCTCTCTATTCCCATGCTTCTTGGCAGCCTCAGTGGTGGAACTGGGGTTGTCCCGAGCTTTCAGGCTCCTTGTTCCTCAGCAGCCAGGCTCCTTGGCAGCCCATCTGGTGAGCAGTTGCAGAGCTGGGCTTCCAGGCTCACCAGTTCCCTAACTACCAGCAGTGGCGGATTAGCCACAGGGCTAATGGGGCCCGTGTCCAGGGGCCCCGGCTAATTGGAGGCCTTTGGAAAAATGGGTCCCCCAACCTGCTCTGCCTGCTTTGGTGCTCCTGCTGGGGAGTGGGATGCGGGTGCGGGGGCTTGCCCCATCCCCGGCAGGAGCACCGGGGTGGGCAGACCAGGCTGGGGTACTAGTGCAGGAGTGCCAGGCAGGGTAGGGCAAGCCCCCATGCCCCAACCCCATTTCCCCAGCAGGACTGCTGGGAGGGGTGTGGGAGGTCTGCAGGTGGAAGGGATGGGGAGGGGATCCCACTTGCTGTGGCCCCACAAAACCATAATTGCCTCTGGCCAGGAGTCTGGGTGTCTGGCTTCCAGGGATACCTGCTTCATGAATGGACAGGTGGGCTCCTAGGCTCCCTGAGCAGCTGACTCCCTAGCTCCCTGGGCTACTGGGCTCCTTGGCTGCCTGCCAGATAGGTGATCTGCTGGATATCCCAGAAATCATATTTTATTTTGGAAACACCACAACCTTTCCACAATAGGAACATTTCAGCATGTCTGAAACAAAATATTGCAGAAGTTCAATTTTTGGCCTTTCATCCTAATTTTTGATTAAAAGTCCTGCAAATTCAATTTTTTTGGTGGGATGGAAATTCTGTTTCCTGGCTTGTTCTGAGGGGCTGAATTATTTTATTTTATTCTCCTAGTTTTCCTCTTATTATTTTTAGGTCGACTACTGGCAAATCCCCTTAGAACAGCTCTTTCTGCTCACTATTGTATCTGTCAAAATGCACCGTCACTTGGTGTGTGAAGGGTATAGAATTCCTTATTCAGGCATGTCCTTATTTGCACATTTCTTAGCAATGCCTTTTGCTTCAGCACACCTGAAGTGTATGAATACTAACAGGTATAAATTTTCTGGACTCAATTATGTGCTCAAAAGCTCTAGGTATTATTCTTACTCACTTGTATGCACAGCCACATATAAAAAGTATAGAGCCCACTTTTCATTTAGACAAAGTATCCTACTTCCATGAGTAAGGAGTTCAGGACAAGGCCCGTTGTACAGAACCTGCCTGGAAGTTACACCTCTTAGAGTTCCTCAGTGATGCAAAAGGAAGTAGTTGCAGATTTTTCACAGTAATTCTGCTCTGTGAAAGTACAAACCCTTCAGAGATACTCTTATAATCACTCCACAGGTGAGATCCAAATGGAATATTATTTCAATAATATTCACTCTTATCTTCCTTTTTTTCAGAATCAGATGTTAGGACTGAAAAAAATAGCTGACTTCTTTGGGTTCTCTCTAAGTGAGGAAGAGATTCAGACTGTTGCAGAGAAGAGCAGCTTCAAAGCTATGAAAGAGAAATCCTCCAAAACTCATGGAGCATTTGGGAAAATTTTCTTCCGTAAAGATATATTTCTGAAAACTCCCTATAAATGATCACCAGTCTCTTGCAGTGAAGTCACTGGCACAGCACCTCTAGCTGGCTGGGTGAACTGAAGGCGGAGGTTCTGATGAGGTCTTGGCTGCAGCATCCCTATCTTTTAGGGCTGTTGTAAAAGCCTGGCCCTCTGTGACATCACAGGCTTGGCAACTCTAGCTTGCTGGTGTGATGTGAAGGCACAGTCCTCTGCAAGGGTTAGTGGCTCAGGACATCTGTCTTGCTGGGATAGTATCCAGGAACCTTTTATTGCTGGGCGGATGGCCAGGGAAAGGCCTCTCTGATGCCACTAGAGTAGCAATGATAACCCCCACTGTGATGAGCATGTAACAGCCACCTCCAATCCCAGGCCAAAGATAAAATCCAGAGTGCATCCAACTATAGGTGTTGAGCCAGACTGTCCCTGGGCTAGTTCTATGGCTGTTATTGGTGGCTGTGGAATCTTGAGCTAACGTAGAAGCGCCACAATCAGTGCAGAAGTTGAAATCGCCTAATACAATTGCTGCAGTGACTCTGGCACTGCCACTGGTTAGCTCAGGAAGTACTCCGAGATACAGTGGGGTTACCTGTAGCTCACATTAGCATGGGGCTCTATTATCTTTCATTGGGATTTCACTGAATCCCGTCCGTTGGTGGGGAGACTACATCTGTCTTTCCTTCAGCCTCACCACTGACCCACCTCTCCTGATGTGTGGATCTAGAGAAAGGACAAGATGATGTGAAGACAGTTCACCCCACCTTCCACAGAGAATACATCAGATTCATGTGTGGAAGTTCCCCTCTGTGGGTTATGAATCATGGGGGCATTATCAGGCCCTGAGTTAGGATCTCTGGCTGCCAGAGGCTGAGGCTGGCACACAAGAACAGAGCTGCTAATGGTGGAGTGTGCATGGAGAATCTGATGTCTTCCCCTACATTTATTTAAGAATAAGCACCACACCTAACAAGACACATGCTTAGTTTGCAGTTTGAAGACCATCTTATCAAGAAAAAAAGCTACACACTTGGGGCCAAATCAGAACGGGTGTAATGACTCTTGAATATAACAAAATGGATGTTTCTGGGGCCAGTTATTTCTGAGATATGGTATGACCAAATCAATAAGATATACCAAGAACTTTACCTGTATTTTTAAAAAATCCTACAACTTAGAAATGGCTTCTCCAATTCACCTCATAGATTGCTGAAAGAATTCTCCTGTGGTCACAAACCTTAGATGTAGAGTCGCAAGAAGAAAGGATCAATTCTTAGGGATATAGATGGGGGAATGAAGGCTGTGATGTGCCAAAATCAGCCTTGCAATGGAAAGCTAGTTACAACTTCAATCAAGGAGTGATGATCCTTTCTCTCTAACAAATGATTATATATATATATATATATATATATATATATATATATATATATATAT